ATGGTGTATTAAAATGATGTGTATTTAAAAAAATGTGGATAAAAATAAGAATAATTGCATGTACATACGTTTAATAAACAAATAGAATCACGATGCATAATAAATTAGCATACATTATTTCCGCCTGAAATAATTGATAATTATTTTCACGCTAATCACGCCGACCCAAAAGTTGCGAAGCACCATATTTCCTGACGGGTTCAAATGGCTTCATTTCCAGACCGAGCACACAGAATTACATGGACTTTTGGAAACAGAATTCTAATTGGTTTTCGTGTTTTTTTTTTAACTGGCTGAAAACGAGCGAACGACAGAAAAATGCCTAACAAGGTTGGTCGCCCGTCCAAATGAGAGCACACGGCAAGGCGTGGCACATCTGCTGGCCTACCAAAGCTGAGATCCAACATAGTTTCCCCTGGCTGGGAGATTCATCGCGATATGGTGGCGTAAACAGCGCCCGCTGCCTCGGATCGCCTGCAGCTGTGAGAAGTGTGTCAAAACCAGCTTAGCCGCGTGGCCTGCGGGACCAACCCAGCTGCACTCTCTTGAGAGGAGGGCGAGGGGGTGATGGCGAGGTTTATAGGGGAGGGGTGTGTCGGGGGAGGGAGGAGGGGGTGTGGAAGAGGTTGGTGCTCGTTTGGTGTGTAAGGTGGTGGCTGGGTGGGTGGGAAGGAGAGGGAGGGGGGGTGGCATGAGGTGGGGAGGGTGGGTTAGTAAGGTTGGTTGGTGGGTTTGAGGAAGGGGTTGGAAATGTTGTGGGCCCTTGGGGTGAGATGGCGAAAAGAGGATGGCTCGCTCGGGCCAAAGGAGACGGAGTCTGGAACGCGGCCAAATTAGCTCGTGGTGTCATTTTTATTTAAATGTCATGGAGATGCGTCGAACATGGCCCGGGCATTATCTTTGCTTGCGCGAGAGGAGTGTTTACTGAAATCCACTCATCTTTAGAATGCATGATTAAATACAAACTGCGTGCAGCGTTATGGAGTCGCTAGTCTATATGGATGCTTATCTATGTTTACATACATTACATTACGGGTATTGTTGATGTTGTCCGCGTGTGTGTGTGCGTCTTGAAAAGCTTGTTTCGCGTGCTGTCAGTGAATGTAATTCCATGTGTAAATGGAGTTTTGAAACACAAACGTTCCATTAGAAATGTTGCAAGTGCAATATTTTTTTATGGAAAGGCCTCTACAATTCATTGAGTGAACGCCCTACTGTGCAAGACGAGAGGTCAATTGACGGTGTCAGTGATATCCGCTTTCTTTGGCAATTTTCTCACAAAGGGTTACACAGCTTAATTCTAGATTTGAAGCTTTCGTGACTGCAAGGATTCATATTCTTAGGTTTTTTTCGGTAAAGTCACGTAGGTAAAACATTAAAATTAATAATGTTAATGTAAAGTCACGTAGGTAAAACATTAAAATTAATATTTTTAATGTAAAGTCACGTAGGTAAAACATTAAAATTAATAATTTTAATGTTTTACCTACGTGACTTTACCGAAAAAACCTAAAACACCTAAGAATATGGTTACACAGCTCTACAAGAGATCTGCATGGATATGTCATCTCTTGGCATGACGCGGATACCACATTCAGGGTAAGGATGTAGCGGGCACTGACAGAATTAAAGAAAAACTAATCAGGGTATCGTTGTGATTAAGTTATATGTGTGCATGCTTACGTGTTGTGACATCAGTAGTTGTACAACTAACTTGTGGAATGCGATACCTCAATTCTTGTCTTCGAAATTGTATTGTCATGACCTTTTTTCTGTAATATATTTCAATAGATTCCAATTTAACCATCATAGTGTCATTCTTTCTGCTAATCAAACTACATGATGTGCTTATTAGAACAAAGACAATGATCTCCCCTATTGCCTTTAACAGACAGTTGTGCCAAGTGCTGTTAGCGAGCACCCGTGAAGGTCAATATTGTGTGTAATGGGGTGAGTGGCCAACACGATGCCTGCCTGCCTCGTCTCCCCAGTGCTGATATTTACACACTGCACCAGGTAGAGTAATCATTTAAGGCTGAGTCGACCTAGGAGAGGCCCAGGACAGGTTCAAATATTCACCACGGTGAGCAGAAATCGCACTGGCGTCGGTTTTTTTTTAGAGCGGTGCACTAACCACTGTGCCACCGCTCCCCATCAGAAGCGCGAACAGACAGACACGCGTGTACGTGCAAAACGCACGTGTGCCCGATTGGTAAATGTTTCAAGCCACCGTTTGGACCATGCCATCCTGTTTTTGGTTTGATCCACGTAACAGTGATGAGCAGCAACATCAAGAGCAGTGGAGGAATTAAATATCGATGGCATCTGCATCTGACGCGCGAGGTATCAATTGAACAGTTGTAAATCACGCGGCGGACCACATTTTTAGATCGCAGCGTTTGCTTTAAATCAAAATCTCTTTTCATAATATTTTTTTTTATAACCTTTAACAACACACAAAAAACGCGACATGCACTCTCATGATCGTCTTCATTATAATTATTCTCGGCCTTTCTTTTCGGCGACGCATCATCGCGAAGTTATATTTGGATTGTAATTGCACCCGCATCCTCTCTCCACAAAGCAGGTGGAATAACGAACTTATCTTCCTTGATTGCGCTGTGCACCAGAAGCCGCACAAGCGGTCTCTTCATTAATTTCTTAAAAACCAGGAAAAAGGAAAGTTTGTTTTATTTTTTACATTGAAATTGTTGCGAAAGCGGCAGCGGCAGTGGTTTGTCGCTGCTGCACTGCGCTATGGGTACTCGACAATCTTAGTCCGATTGCTGACCAATTTCTAAAGCACCAGCGGTTGGTGATATCTCAACTGGCTCTTGCCCTCATCGCTACTTCATCCAAAAAAGCACGTGACCAGCTTGGTGAAGTATGGTCACCGCACCTCCTATTAGCACGGTTGGCTACGTACGGGGCGAAAGAAGTTCAACATACGTACGTTGTCAAACAACCCAGATATGACTGGCATGGCAATGGGAGGCTTTCTTCCAGCAGTAGATTGACAAAGTGACATGAATGCAGTATTTTAGATTTGTATACATATATATTTATGCTCGTGGAAAGGCACCGTTAAGTTGTTAGCGCTTTAATTTTAAAATATCAAATATTTTGTCAAAGCTGACATGGAATTAATATGGGTTCCCTTGTTAAGAAGCTATTGGAGTGAGGTTTGTTTCTGAGGTATTTGTCGGTTAAATTAGTTTTTTTACATTTGCTGTGGATGTTGTCGTCTATCGTCTGACACATAAATGTCTCATCGTGACAGTCATAATTGGCAACTTCCAACGATTCCATTTTGTGATGGCGTTACACCGTGCTGTATATAAAAAAAAGTGGATTCATGTGTGCAGTTAGGTCATTACCATCGGCAGTTGATTTACCGCTTAAGGTAATTAAACAGAAACAAGTCAGATCAACACCTGCAGAGGTTGAGTGATGCTCGTGTCCAGCGAGCTAATTTGTCCGAGTATCGGGGGTGCATCATTAGAGCATCTGTTTTCTTTGATCTGCCACCCTCGTTGGAGTGTGCAAAAAAAACTGATGCAATAATGATTTTTCTCATCACTTACACTCTAGTTATTCGAAATAGTGGCCCGTTTTTTAATGTCTTCTTGTTTACGATACTTACTGCATTATTAAGTAAATCAAATATCGCCGACTTTCTCTCTCTCTCTCTCTCTCCCTCGGTTCTTTTTGGCTTGATTTAAAATTATTTCCAAGGAGAAATGGCTTCGTAACAAGGTGACGGTTTTTAACACGAAACGCGGCTCTAAATAAAACACGTTCATTAAAGAACTAAGGCTACCATCAGCTCACTTTGGCCTTTTTTAATTTCCATAAATTATTTAAATACAGTTTTTTAATGAACACCCTTTTTTGTGCTTTTAAGAATTGCACATCAAAAAAACCTATTTAATGTTATCTTATATTCTGGTGCATTTCTTGCTTAATTACGACGAAAATAAGTCGTATTTTGTTTCATGAACACAATTGCACTTGGGCTTATATGTTTTTTGCACATTTCAATCTGGCCCTTCCCTGCAAACATCGTGTGTGTGTGTCGCCATCTCTGCAGGTCTTATCTGTCCCTAATGCTTATAAGTGCTCTCCCGGACAGAGCTGATGAGCTCATCAGACGAAGCAGCCTAGTCAGCGAGCGTGAAGGGTACCAGGAACTTGTCATCCTGACAGCCAGGGAATTCAGATGCAAAAATTATGTAGAAAACTTGACGTTTGCGAGCCAGCGCAGATAGCGTAAGTGGGATTAATAGTCCCTGAATCATCAGCTTTTGAGGCTGCTACATATTATTCTGTGTCACGCGTCCTGTCGAAGGTGTCGTTACGAAAAAAAAGGTGGCCCGTGTCTTCGACAGGACAAAAGACACTTGATCGCATTCAAAAAGGGCTCCTTCCTTTGTTTCGTTACAAGTAGGAGATGATTTTCGGTTGTGGAAAATAATAGGAACGTCACGTAAGAATGTTTAATATTTACAAATGCCTCGCCTTCCCTAAAAAATTTTGACTTTAAAACAGTCTTGTTTTGTTCTACATTTCAACAATATATTGTGACTTTGTCACGCGAATATTTTTACACTTAGCAACATACTTACATGGGATGGCTTAAAAGCGCGTGATTGCAGGTGTAGTAAAAACAACTGGAATATGCAAGCAAGAGGGGATTGGGGGGGGGCGGAGACGAGCTAAATAATTGTTTAGCTGCGAGCAGGAGTCGTCCCTAGGTTATGATAAAACCTGCGCGCCAGATTTAAGCGGGGGGGGGGGGGGGGTGAGAGAGATAAAGCACAGCCTAAATAGTCAAAGTGGTGGTTGGTCGAGTGGTGGGTTGAGGTGTGGGGGTGGGTTTTGGGGAGGAGGTGGCTGCAAGAGGAGGGGGTTGGGTGGGGTGGGGGGGGGCAGAGCAAGGGGTGGGGAGCCAAAAAAAAAAGTTACTGCTGTTGGCCAGAGCCCTGGCTAGTCCATGGCTTGTGGGGTAATCAGGCCCCTGGAGGGTCCAGAGTGCTGGGAAGAATGGTCTATCGATCCGGTGCAGGGGAGATGGAGAGACGGTCGTCGAGACCAAGGCTGCTGCCGCTGCTGCCGCTGCTGCCGCTGCTGCTGCTGCCGGAGTGAGAGGGAGAGAGCGACAAGACCTCTCGACTCTGCCTCCGCCGTTGGAGCACAACGACGGCGTTCGCTCGCTTGCTCGCTCGCTCGCCGGGGCGAGCAATTGCTGCTGCTGCTGCTGCCCGCCGCCGCCGCCGCTGGCCGCGACCTGGGGCTCCGTGTCTCTATTCCGTGCGTGTGAGCGAACGCGCGCGCGCGAGAGAGGGAGGGACGGAGCGAGACGGGAAGAGCGCACGGAGCGAGGGACGTGGGAGCGCACGGGAGCGCACGGAGCGCATCGCGCGCAATGTCCCGGTGGCCGCTGAGACGCGGGCGAGCTGCGGGGCCGCGGATTGCCCGCGCCGGCTTCTAACCCCCCAACCCAACCCCCTCTCCTCCTCCTCCTCTTCCTACCCCCCCCCCCCCTGTCTCTCACCGTAGCTGCCGCACGTGGACTAGCCAAACTTCGCCACCGCGATGTCTTCTATCATCAACAGCGTAAGCTCCTGCATTATTATTATTATTCTAATTTTCCTGCATGTTAAACACTCGGTTTGTTTGGTTTTTTGTTGTTGTTGTTGGAGAGAATGTGCGTGGTTTCTCTTGGTGTCGGGAGCGTCGCGCCCGTGTTGTTTTCGTTCACTTTTAAGTGTGAGACTTGTGACTCTCACCCGTTCTGCGTGCGGTGGGATTTACGCGCGATAACCGCCTCGCTTACGTGCTCTTTTAAAAGTAAAGAGGCTCAAGATATGCGTGTAAAAGAAAGAGCATGAAGCTGTTCGTTTAATCGTACTCGAAAGCGTGAATGAGACAAGCTTTATTTGAATCGTTATTCTCATTTTTTCATGAACTTGGAGACGCTAGTATTTATTAAGTTGAACGTCTACATTCGCTGTTGGTGTGCTCAATTGAATTCCATTTAAATTTTAGGATGTAAATATACATCTTGTAAATATTTAAGCACTTTTGTTAAAAATAATGAACGCAGAAAGTGGAAATGTGCGTGTGTTCTGGGTACAAGTAAATACATTTTAAATCAATGAAAGTCCCTCGGACATTCACTTTGTGTTGTTGACAATCAGACCGAAAGCAATGTTTTTTTTCTTTTCGGATAAAAATAGTGGTAGACAACTATTTAACGGAATATATATACGTGTGCCATTAGATATCTATAAATATAACGCTACATTGTTATGTAATCAATAAGTATTGCATTAGATGTCATCTTGCGTTACCAATTTTGTAAATCGTTTTTTTTCTGACGATGTACCATTTTTAGTGTTTAGTTCTGCCATTCCCTATTGTTGGTGTAGTTAAAAAATCTCTCCGTATAATTGCGAGTGATAAAACCGTACGTTTACTTTTGTAACGATTTATCAAAACTGTTCATGGAGAACGGGGGGGTGGGGGGGGGGGAATTCACGAAGTGTAACTGAATCGTCGAATCGAAGCCAGCTTGAGTTTCCGTCGTACGTCCGCTTGCTTCGAGCAAAAGAGAAGCACCTCTTTGCACACGTACACTTGACAATAATCCCCATTCAGTCCGAGTCAACTTTTTAAAAGAGGGAGGGGAAAAAAAACCCACATAAAGGGTCGTTATGTATGGGCACAGCTGGAGAGAGGCCACCGGCACTGACAAAGCCATTCGCTTTTCTGTTTGTGTCTGTCTATCGGCCGCGTGTGCTGTTAATTTGTCTCTCACTCCGGTGTCAGGTAGATCACAGCGCGCGGTAGCAGCTGCGTTGAGTTAGTCGTCTGCAGCAAAAATTGCAGTTTTTAGAGAAACGCGAGACCGACCGGCCACTATGCACATCTGGAATTCAGGTGGGAAAGGTATATAGTGGCTGCAGGCCAAATAAAGGCAGAACATTTTAGGATTCCTTGCGCTGGGATAGGGATGACGGAGGCCTAATAAAGCCGAATGTTTATAATCTGCCACGGTGCCCCTGACTGCTCCCCTCTCGTCACCCTCATATAATTTTTGCGGCGATAACCGTTATTGCATTGAGGTTGAGGTGGCTTTCTTAAGCCACACGGTCTGCAGCAGCAAGACCGTGTGGCTTAACTCTCCTAATCTGAGCGGCGCAGAGTGTTCCAAGTCTGCAGCGGCGCAAGAATTCGGGACAGATCCTGCCCGGGAGCCCGCAGGGACAGATCACGCTGCAGCCAAACGCAGCCAGACCAGAGAGCATCTGGTTTTGATTGATATGCTTCCAGTGCAATTCCTGCACTGAAAACTGAGGCATGGCTAGCAACAGTGCGAGGTGTGAGAGAGCCAGGGTGTAGGCAGACATGAGAAGAGAGAGAGAGAGAGGAAATACAGAACGGTTGTCGGTCCTCTGGGACGGCCACAGAAAGGAAACCGGGGCCACCCTGGAGGGTAGGGCAGCAGAGGAGGGCGAGCAGATTCAGACGTAGGAGTGAAAGGCCTAGTGACATGTGTTCGGATTGCCACTGCCCAGTGGCCCCCCTCCTCCTCACCATTCCTTTGCCTTCCCCCTTTTGCCCACCCCTCCCTGCTTCCCCTGTGCTCCCTTGAGTCTCTGCTCACCTCTCTCTTCAGATCTTGGCACCCCAGGAGAGCGGTTCCAGCCAAACTCCGCAGTTCAAAGCATTCTGATTTAGTTCATCCACACTCGGCTGGAGTGACATGCCTTGACGGGATGGCTGTTAATTGGCAACTCTAGGAATAATCCTATTACGTTGAACATCTTTCCCTTAATGAGAGTAATTGCCACAAGCATGGATACACGCAGCACACAAAGCCGGGCACGGCCAGGGACCTGTCCTTGCGGTGAAATTTGGTGGAAATGTAAAAGTAGCTTAATTAATTCCTTCAAATAGCCCAGAACGGCGGCCGGGCCTTTGATATTGGAAGAGACAAGCCACAGTCGAGAATTTTTTACTAATTGGGATTCTAATTTGTCGTTCGAATGCGGCAGTGGTTGTTAGGTAGACTGCAATGGGAGTTGAATCTCTGTCCAATGGCTTCCCAGGGCACCGGCTGCATAGAAATTCATATGAGTTTGCACAGATCATTCCTACAACTGTACTCACAGCAAGGGGCATCGGGTCTTCGGTCCTTTGTGAATTATATAGCCTCTAATGAATGTGATAATTTTAGAATGTGATTTGCCACCCATTTCACAATATGTGCGGTCCGCTGGCGTGCGCGCGCTCGTGACTTGCGCGGCTTCCGGAATACGACAGCCCGTGTACACATTTAGATTTGTTTTCGTGACAAATGAATATGGGTACATTGATCGGGAGTGATAACAGCTCTTGTCATTAATTACGTTGCTGGGGGGCGGGGGGGGGGACCCCCTCTCCGTTGCTCAGTGTTATGAAGCAAGAAGACGTACTGTGTGAAGTTGTCTCAATATTTATAGTCGGTAATTGAGTTGTTGAGATGCTTGAAATGTAAATATACATTAATTGCATTACTCAGCATAAAATGTGGCTTGTTAAGTAATAGCTCTGATGATTGACTCGAGCGCTTGCTTTATTGAAACGCGCATTGCAAATATAACTCCGCGTGACAGTCGGTGGCAGTGTTTATTACTTCGGCGGTAATTAGCGTTCCTGGAAAAGCGAACGTTCTTAATTGCGGTTGCAAATGTATATCAGCACGTGCTGATTATGAATAATCGCTGTGTGCATATGAGATGGCGTTTGACAGCGTGGCGATGGCACGGTAGCAGCCCTAGAGTAAACCGCGTTTGCTGGCACTCACCATGAGGAGATGTCACGCTGTCTTGAACGGTCGGTTTCCTTTTGATTAAGGATATTTAATAAAACGTGCCCAACAGTTTTACGTTCATTCATTTTTATCACGTAAAAATTACCATCTTTTCACCTCGTCTGTTTGTTGCGGCTCAAAGGCAATGCAATTAATGTGCGAGAACTGTAATGCATTCTTTACTTTTGCATATTTGTTTTTAACAGGTAACTAACTTCCCTAAGATTCCACTCATTAGACCCCCCCCCCCCCCCAGTGTACTAGCCCACGAAGGGCTACAAAAGGACCCGTTATTTCTGTCTCATTTTGTTCTCAATTTGAGTTTGAACAAGTTATCAAAACGCTTCAAAAATCTCACACATCAGAATCTTTCGGCAAAACGTATTAGGTTCGCTTATATGCAGTCCACAGCATGAAACAAACAAATTGCTACCCACAGTCGAATGTCTTATTAAGAAAGCAAATGGACAAGTGTTTCTTACGATACTTTCAGTTCTATTTGCCTGGCTTGAAACCCACCGCGTACATGGCTAATATGTTTTTTGTGTTTTATGTGCATTTAAGGCCCTGTTATCAAGTAAAATAAAAATGATAAATATATATGTAACGATGTAAATTGGTTGTAATAATAGGCATATATAGTTTCTAATGTTTTGCATTACAGAAACTTTAAATTAGTGGCAGGCATTTCAATAATTACCATTTTAGATCAAATACAGTCAACACTTAAAATTGGAATGCTCCATATGATGAATGCATCAGGGTTTCAAATATGTTTACATGGAGGAAAAAGTAACACTGTTATTTCAAATAATTATATAGAGCACTTATTCATAATGGCACTCATTTTTACTTAGACACATAATAAGCAATTAATATAATTTGCAGTTATGTGGAAATTATGTGAATTTTCGATGTAAAACATCGACTCGTTGATAGAGCATTGGGGAGATGTTTTGACATTTCATCTGTAGCATCGGTATGAACGCGTTTTAATTTCAGCGACGTTTTGAACTGTCGCTGAAATTATACTTTATATCAATTTTAATTTGTATTTGTTCCAATTATGATTGTGCATGTGTGTATGTATGCCGGGGAGCGTTGGCACAGTGGTTAGGGCGCTGCGCCGCAAGCCCGGCAAGCCCCATCTCGATACTCGCTCACGGTCAACACCAGTGACGATTATTAGAACCTGTCCTGGGCCTTTGCCTAGGTCGACTAAGCCTCAAATGAGTGCCTGGTGTGATGTGTAAACATCGCCACTGTGGGGGAGACAAAGGCGGTCGGGCGTCGTGCTGGCCACCCACCCCCTCGTGCGCCACAACGCCGGCCTTGATATGTGCTCCGCGAACGACACTTGCCCCAAAAAGTATGTTTGCGTGTCGACTAAAGAAATTAAAGGAGGGCTTCAGTGTGTCTGCGTACATCGCCGTGGCTCCGCTCTCGTGTGGCCGATTTTAAGAGCGAACCCCTTCACGACCATCGGGGGAAGGGTGACAGCGAGCAAAGTCCTGCATGATCACGGACTACGCCACGCTGCGCTACGTCTGCTCCAAAACCTCCGTGGTCACCGGGAGGGCTTGTGGGCTTTCTTGCAACACAAGTAAAGATATAGATGAGTGAGGGTACTCGCCATGGCAAATTTGCCCTGGTGGGATACCGTTGCCAGAGATGAAAAAAAAACTTCCAAGGATGAGCTCAGGTCAATTTGTGTCAAATAGTCTGGCAGCTTGTCACGTGTCTCATTACTGTGATTCTGTAATATGGAAAAATGTTCGCGCATTTTCGATCGCGTACTCGCGGTGTGTCCGATACGTCTGCAGTCGAGCAGATGTTGGGAATTGTTTTTTTTATATAACTGTAAAATATGATTTATTTTTTTCAAAGAAACATGGATCTTTTTTGTATATGTTTTTACAATTTAGTGATTTGGCGATGTTTTTTTGATGGCCAGTAATTTTGTTACGGGAGAAAATCATAACTTTAGAGAGAGAAAAACTCGCGCGAGGATTTATGCAGGCATTTGTTGAAACATATGCTAGTTGTATACATCAATGCCAGTTGTGTAAGCATATATATTCCTCAATGAGACAAGTCCATATTTTATATACATAGCAATGTAATACCTTGACGGTGGTGTTTCCAGAAAAATGCAATTAAATGTAGCATTGTACTCGAGTAATATGAATTGTAACTGTATGTATGATATATAGCTGCTGTAATATTACTAACAACTGTTCATAATGTTGCAAGGTAAAATGGGTCAGGCCATAAAATACTCGATTGCATTTATTTGTAATGGCATACAATAATTAAATCAGTCCGCTGGGGATCAGGTATGTACACTGCTTTATTGAATAATGCAATATGATGCGATTACAAATAAAGTTTGACAGGTACAGACTGAGGCAACAGTGATGATGTTTTAAAATAACTCTAATATTATTTGAAGACAAGCTGAATTCATTCAAGCGTTGTGAATGCCACGTGTGAAATGTGTTCATATCTCCAGCTTTACGCAGAAGAATCATAGCGATTCTTGTACTTTAACAAGGATCGCCACCACCTTACGCGACGCGGTATTTTCCGCATCGCATTTTTGTGCCTATCGCCCAAGCGCGCAGCGCGTGCATAAATAAGTTTGAGAAATTGTTCGCACTTAAGCGTGCTGCCCTGCAAAATGATCTTTTGCGTGTTTGATTTTGTTTCGGCTGCCCCCCCCCTCCTCCTCCCTCATCGTCTGGCCCAATAGTTCCTGTAATTACGACGTCAGAACCGCAACACCGGAGCGTGTCGATTGCGCAGCGCCACTGGACTCCGTAAACCTGCCCTGTACCCGAGTCCTGGCAGCTAAGACACATGCAGTGCTTCTCAGCAAGGAGCGAGCAAGGGACGGGGGTGATGGTGGGGGGGGGGCGATGCGACTCTCAGTAGTGCAAAGTGCGTCAAAGCAAGTCGTAGATGTCAATCGTACGAACCCACGTGGGAATAGCCATAGGGAAGCTGGAGGCAGGGTTGACTAATGGAAGGGTGGCGTGTCTGCGTGATGGGCACAAAGCCCGGCGTCACTCCACTTGCCTTTAATGCGAGTGTCATCCCTGAAATCTGTTGTGCGCGTTACAATGCAGAGGCAGGGAGAAACCGGCGCGTGGTCAAAAAAAAACAAACAACTGGGCAATAAGGAACATTCGGCAAGTTTTTTTGTGCTCGTTTTATTAGGTTTGACAGAGTAAAAGCGAAGCCTGTAGTTTTTGTTTGTTGACTCGAGGGGCAGCAAGGCTTGTGGGGGAGCGGAGGGGAGAGGGGTCACAGTGGTGGGGGGGGGGGGGTCAGCGTACGAAGCGGCGCCGCCGCCGTCGTCGTTGCGACAGCCACGGTTCTGCTTGAGAAGATGACAGTGAGAGATGTCGTTCCCCGCGGTCGTTTCATGTGTCACGCGGCCAAGGCGGACGGGGTTGGGTGTGGGGGGCTGCTGCTGCTGCTTCTTCTGCCGGGAGGAGCCCCCCCCTGCCCCCCGAAGGAGCGGGCGTCACTCGGCGGCACGTCGCTTGTCGCCGCGCGTGCTATGTGACAGCTGTGGCACCGGTGGGGACTTGTGGGAAATGGAGACTTTCGGGTCCTCCGTGCCCAGACATGGCATTCCCTTTTAAAGATCTAGAGAGGGACCGTGCTCCCGTGGATTATTTTTGCCCTATACTTTTTATTATTATTATTTTGCTCTACAAAAGTCCTATGTTATGGACACCGGCTCACATTTCTGAATGCACTTGGATGTCCTGCTGGTGTATACTCGATGTGAATGGTGCTCGCTGAACAGCACTTGTCTTAAAAAGTCTGTTGAGGCTATGCAAGGGGGGTCTTTGTCATTGTCTTGGATTTCTACACACGTGCTTTTGAAGCGACCTTTGACAAAGTGCATTGAATCGTGCGTTTGTCCAAGGGCTTCACTTGCGAATCTTTGAAAATGTATAACTCTTGTATTTAAAGGATTTAGTAAAAAAAAAAATGTGTTTCCCCTGGATTAAAAAAAGAATAAACTGCACTCTAGGGAAGTTTGATTACATTATGGGTGCGATATAAATGCAAATAATATGAATGCTATCGCTACGGTATTTTCAATCGCATACGATTTGACATCGCACCGTGCGCTGGTTTTCCGTTGCGAACATTGGACGTAAGAGCATGAAACCTGCGGGCGATTATGTCGTAGAGCAACAAATGTTTTGAACGTCAGCCTCTCGGAAAGGTTATAACTGAAAAAAAATCAAGTGTCTCAGAGTGTGCCAATTGGCACCCACGCATACATTCCATGAAATTGTCCTGCCAAAATAAATTTCATTTAAATTTGGCGTGTGTTTCAAAAAAACTAAACCGTAAACCCTTTATTGTGCCTGTGCATACACATGAATAATGGAATGATGAAAATATATATATATACTGTACTGTACGTTGACAATTTGTCTCCGTACGGAATTTTTTCACATTTCATCTATCGGCGTATGAGCATCATGCCGCGTGTTCCTTCCAACCCGTTCCCGTAATAAAGATGTGCGCTTTTTGTCCGTGCGCGTGCTTAGGCCATTCGTTGTACACTGGTAAACTGCAGCTGCGAGTGCTTCCAGCCGGGCAAGATTCACATCAGAACGTGCGACCAGTGCAAGCATGGCTGGGTGGCCCACGGTAAGAATTCCCGTCTCTCCATTTTCACTATAACAACGAAATGACACGAGTGGCTCTGGACGTATAGAGTTTTCTATAACAGACTGCTAACGATCACATAGTTTACTGTGCTTTGGCAAGGCCACTGCTGGATGTTCAGGATTTTACCCCGTGCCGTTTATGGCTGTTTGATCATCACACTGATCCGTACGAGCTGGTGAATTTGAGGGGTGTCCAGGACCCGTTTGGATATCCGTCACCACTGATGTTAGCCACGGCCGAGAATCGAAATGAGACAGCCCAGGTTCATAGTGCAGCGTGCTAACCACTGCACTATTGAAGCATTGCTCTTGATCTAATGCCTTGTAAAAGGACAGATGCACATTAGACCAATGTTTCAGGCGATTTTTACATATATTTTTAATGTATGAAGAAAATTACCTTGCTTGAGATCGTCAGTCAGTCTTGCACAGAGCACGCCTGCTGTTATCTGCGTGTATACAAGGGACGCGCATGTCCCCAGTATAGGGTGCCATTGAGTTGAACGTTGTTCAGCGATGCGTGACGATCTTGCTCCTGTACGATTTCTTATTCACGCTGATAAACGACGTCGGGATGATCGCATCGTCTAAGGCAGAGCTGCTGCTTGTAGAACTCCTCACTCAGATATGCAGTATTTTGCCATCGATATTTGCAATTTAGTTTTTCATGTAATTATTTAGTAGACTGTTGGGGGGGGAGTGTTTGTGGGGTGAAGCTGTGGGGCAATTGTTGATGCGTCGAGCTTGGTTTGATTCCCAGCCACGGCTAAAATCAGTGGCGAATTACATCTCAACTAGTCTTCCCCACCACCCAACTTATACTGACCAGCGCGATGAAGTATGGTCAAACAACCCCTGCCGACTGGACCGACACGAGGAGGCTTTCATCCATTAGCTATCAGCAAATGCTTGTAAATTTATTATTAAACTATCTGCAGTATTCATCAAGGTGACCCTTAACATTCACCTTGTTAACATACCTTTCTTCCAGGCAATGCCCGTTTAAAGGGATTGAACAATAATATATCTGTATTGTTATTTTAAAATGTCTGGTTTCCTTGTCAACATTTTTTTAAAAGTGCAAATACAAAACAATTAACAAGGCATAGCCGCACATCCTGCGTTGTTCCTTAAGCCACATCCATCTCTCATATGTGGTTGTTGTGCTTCACGTGGCCTAAAAAATATGTCTCTTAATGTTCATTAGAACAATCACTTCATTAGCGTTCTCAGAATGTTAATATTGTCTTTTGTACCACTTCACGTCCTTTGAAAATCTTCTCACTCAAATATTTTTTCCTGGCGTGTAAATAATTAATGTAAAGGATCCTAAATGGCACTGCTCGAGTCGGACACTTTGCTCTCGTGTAATTTAATCTGCAACAATGTACCTTCGCCGAGCAGACTTTTGTTACATCCGAAAAATTACGTAGAGGATGGGAATATAAGAGTTTCTGCTGAATCTACTACCTACTGCTGAGATTTGTGGATCATGCTGAAGTGGTACAATTTTGAAAGTTTAAATTGAGCTATTAAAAAGTTACCAGTGGTTGAGTTGAAATTAATCCTCATGTATTGAAGTAACCCATCCTTACTAATGATACTTTTTTTCTGCAAGGTTATAAAAAAAATGTTTTATGATCAAATGTTTCTCCTGCTGTGTGTAGGTAGTGTTGATATAAAGTTATCTTAAGTGTCTTGTTTCGGTGACTTTCTATCAAATTTTACACTTTGCTATTTTTTTTTACTGTCTTTTGATTAAAAAATAAGCTCTCAAATTTTTAGGTGCATTTAGACATGAAATGCATTTTATGAAACGTGTACATTAAACATTTTCAGAGTGGAATTTGTTTTACTTTATGAATTTAATTTTTACTTTTTTTTAAAGCATTCTATATATATACACACACTTGCGCATCAATCGCACGTTGCATTTTAAGTACCCGGTAAATAAAAATTGCCAGTCTCTTTGACATCTAACTGCACATTTAATCCCAGCAGAGTCCTTGTAGGGAGGGGGACCACTTCAGCAATGTTTATTCCATTATTGCTATTTGCGTGCAAACATGTGCTTCATTACAGCAATTAAAGCCGTGTAATTAGAACTGTCGTTTCATATTTCGGCACAGCCTGCCTGATTTTTTTTTGCGCGCCGCTTGTTCGCACATCCGCTCATGAGTATTTAAAACCATTTAAATCTGCTGCCTCCCTGTTTTGATTTGATATGCAGCGATGATCGCGCACAACAGCTGTTTGCATCCCGGGCTCACTCGATCCACCCAAAACCCTGGCATGTGGCTGTCGCTCGCAATTAGTGCAAACGCCTTGTTGTCATTGAAAATAAAAACATCATCCTCTGCCTGGCTTGGACTATTCCGACGTTGCCCGGAGTGGGTTTTTTTTTCCCTCAGCTGTTGAATATTCTATGCGTTGAAATTGCAGAAAGTGTTTCTAAAACAAGTTAAACAAAGTAAATTGGCTCATTAGCTACCTTCAGAATAATAATAAAATTGCTTTGTACGATCATTTTTTTTAAACATCCTAACTGAATGAGAGGAGTATTTGTTCTGAAGCGAATTCATGGAAAGCCAAAATACTAAGTGTGGAAATTTAAAAACTTCTTTTTTCATGCTGAAATTTCTAAACAAAGTGACACATTCTTGAGCACCCTTTTTAAAACATATTCCCATTTTCCTAATGTTGAAAAGTTTTTCCCCACCACCACCAAAAAAAAAGATCATATCACGTTGCTTACATTTGGGGCTTCCAAAGATTCCTTACAGGTGAAGTTAGCTGTGAGAGCTTGAGATAAAGCCAAGAAGAGGTTAGGAACGAATGAAGCAAGCGCAGTCAGGGAAAGCTGCCAAAGGAGACCAGGGGAGATCTGTGTGTGTGTGTGTACAGAGCTAGGCAAGCGAGGGGGCCTTGGGAACAGTTGTGTTCCAAGAAGGAACCTCCGAGGCCTTCAGACGCCGCGTGTTAGAATTAGAATAAACATTTGATTCTAGCCGAGACCAGACATCGCACCGGCCTCGCACTTGCAAGTCTGCCGAGAGCAGACCTCTCGCATGTCAGGGAGGCACGGCGAAGAGGCGTGATGATCGTGTGGATTTCCAGCATTTGAGCAAAAGAAAAAAAACGCGACATTCTTTAAATGGACGGAGAGCCACGGCCGGAGGTGTTAGGGTCGAAGTCTGCACTGGTGATTTGTTCGTGTGATACAAAGACAAGACGAAATTAATGGGAGTGTACATCGCGCGCATTTAGCAGAATGGCAGAGTCTGCTTAGCATATTGCATGTTTAGTGTCATTATTAAATCGTGCGCAGAGTGCGCATGTTGCGTAAAACGGGAATGTGGTTGCAGTCATTAGCAATAAAAAAAAATGCTCGCAGCGCGTTTGCGGCACACCAACCTTGAGAGAGGATCAATACAACATCATAAAAGTGTTCACCTTTGAGTTGAAAAACTAAAAAAACCAAACACCTACAGCATGATTAGAGCCTTGATTTTATTTGAACAAATAATTACTTTATGTGCTTGTTAATCAAAGCCGGTGCATTTGATGCGGTGCTGCGAAGACGCTTTGTAACCTGTTGTGTGTTCTCATTCTGCTGATGCACGCGTCAAATTGAGACAGACTTATGTTATTAAGGCAACATAAATGTGTCATTATCAGCGTGACACTTTGCGAACATGACTGCTCCGTGTAATTCAATTAAATACCATAATGTACGTTGCTTAATGCAACTAAAAAGGTTTAGTTTTTTCAATATGCATTGCTAGCTACTAGTTAAATACATCATACAAGTACCCTTTACACTGCTGCATAGTTTTTATAATATCTGTGCAAACGTGACAATCTTGTCGGGAAGTGAAGGAATTATGGCAAGAATTTTGGCATAAAACGACTACATGCTCTGGACCCAAAAATAAATATGGATTATTGTATTGGCTACAAAAACGTACTTCATAAGTTGTTCCGCGTGAGGTCTTTCGTTTTCGCCCCACATGCTGGGAGCTTTTGATTTCAAGAAGAAGCTCCCAGCATATGGTGTGAAACGTCGGACATCGTACAGATCAACACGCGGTACAAATCTGACGCACGTAGGGAGACGTCGACACCCTCTGTACTGGTCCGTGAAGCCGGGTGTCAGGTGGATTGATGTATAATTTCAAACTCAAACTATGATCTTGCTTTAGAATTCAGAAGTTCGTTATTGAGGAGGAGAGAAGAAGAAGAAGATGATGATGATGATGTAGATGTGAAGAAGAAGTAAAATTATGAAGAATATTTAAAATAAAGATAGCATAAAATCCCTTAAATAGCATGGGAATTATTAAATATATTTGACCACATTGGCCTATTGGCTTTCCACACCAGCAGCAGCATTTGTTGTCAGTCAGCAAACTCTGGACGGGTTTCGACCTTCTGGGTCTCATCACCAGAGTAATGCTCGTAAAGCAAATGCCACTGGGGGTTGCCAGATGTTATTGGCAAGAGCACTCCGTATAAACGACGGGGGGGCCACGTGAGCTGCACGTTATTTTAAGGGATCATCTTTCTCACCTTCGCAAATTATCAGCATCGTTAATCTGAGCAGTTCAATTTTAAGTTCTAAACGCACATAAGCGCATTTTTTTTACGTCACTTATTCATCTGCCTGGTTTTTTTAAAACCCCAACGCAAAGGTCACTCGCACGTGTGAAGTATTCCACCGCTCGCGCAATCCACAATGGGAAAACAAAACGGTTACCTTTTTTTTGTTAGCGCGGTACAACATCGCGTAAACCGACTGTCACGCATCTGCCAAGATCCATTAACGACCAACACCCAGGGCAGTATTTTTGTGTACCGGCTAATCGTTATTTTCGCCATACACAAAACGGCCCGTTCGTCAATCCGCTGCCAGGTGACGGCCTCCTCATGCCGTGCGGGTCAAGGGGTTATTTGACCGAACGTCACCACACTGGTCAGTGCGGGGCTGGTGAAGCAAATTTCTATAGGTGTCCACACATCCGATCTTATCATACGTACGCCTCTAACTTCAGAGTGTCGAGTGAGTCAGATACTTGACATTGTACTGTGATGTTAAACAGCAGACTTGACAGTTATTTGCATGCAAATCATTCCTTATCTCACGTACATGCGCTCTCTTCTCGAGTGCAGTGAAGCATTTCCCCACGTGTAACGTAGTTCGCGCTTGACTTTATCCATTGACCTATTTGTGCGTGGTGTAATCAGCGTTTTCTATGGATGCTCACTTATCCGACCTCTTCACATATCTGTCGATACCTCAACAGCCAGAAAGATCTCAGATATAAGACGCCGTGCAGCGCTGTGACATCAGCACCCTTGTAAATAGCTTACCACAGCAGGACGCTACCGAAATTGTCGCTGTTATTATCATTATAATCATTCGACGGCAAAACGCGCAAGTCCTTTCGCTCACAATGTTGAACGCCTTTTCCTTTGCGGCGGTGGTGGGTGGTGCTGTTGGGCGTGCTCGCGTGTGCAGCGCTGGACAAGTTGAGCACGCAGCACCTCTACCACCCGACGCAGGTGGAGATCGTGCAGTCCAACGTGGTGTTCGACATCAGCAGCCTCATGCTGTACGGCACGCAGGCCGTGCCCATACGCCTCAAGATCCTCCTCGACCGTCTCTTCAGCGTGCTCAAGCAGGAGGAGGTGCTGCAGATCCTGCACGGCCTGGACTGGACACTGCGTGATTACGTCCGGGGATACATACTCCAGGTACGCACGCGCGTTTATCCGCGCGACATCCCCGACGCCCTTCGCAAACCCCGTCCGAGCTCCACGGCGGCCGGCCGCAGCGCTAGTCTTTCCGCGCGTGTTCACTCACGTGGTTCGACGTTGGGAATTCCCTCCCATCCATCTGTTTTTCCCAAGTTCTTGTCAAACCTTGCTCAAAGCAACGTGCGTGAATCGTTATCTACGTCACCTTCAGTCATTGTTTGCTGGCCGTCTGGTATTTTGGGCCTTTGTGTGCTCAGCATTTGTGATATACAACAATAGTTTTAAAACAAGAGTTTTATTTCGTCTTAAATTAAACATTTGCACTGGGACAAGTTAATTTCCTACTAATTTGAGTGGGGCCGTGCCTATATCATGTTAAGAGCCCTGCTGAGGCAGTGCTTAAAAGTCCACATTTCTTTGGCAGGTATATCCATGGGAAAAGCCGCTTTACTGTTTAGAATCCCCTTAAGTCTTTAATTGATAAATTGTGAGAATTAAAGTGGGTTTCCTGATCAATTCAGCTTGGGGAAGTGGTCATATCCTGCTTTCAGTGGTGGAAATTCCACATTCCTATGCTGGAGGTAAGTATTGCAAGAGCGCAACCGATGTGAACTGCCCCACAAATTGATACTCGTGGGCTTTGCCGACCTCCGGCCTGGATGTGAAGTCGGACTCTTGCAATTGCAAGCCATGCATTTGGCTGCCTGTGCCACACAATCGTGTTTACACATGCACACATTACAATTTTTAAGTGCAAATGTATCTGTAAAAAAAACCCCGCACAAGAGATGGTTAGAGCCAATGGTGTTGATGCTACAACACACGTCACCAAAATGTTCTCTAGATCCCGTAACGATTGCACATTCGTCGCCTGACATATAAGGCAAATTAATCCTGTTTTCAACTATTATCGTATACTACAAATTCCTTCATGATACTCGATCCATGATGTTTATTTTTTCATAATTGCAGTTTGCTTTAAAACACATTCCCATTCCATGCATATGGCTGCTTGGCTGAATATTAGTGAACATTCCGTCTGCTCTTGACTTGAGAAAATATGTTGTTATTTGTCTTGCTTGACCTGTCACTTATTACGTACGTCTCCTGAAGTGGCAGTGTTTTAATGCGGTATTTTTATGATTAGGGTGTAAAATGTGTCGGTAATGTTGCCGTTATTGTTATAATAGGCCTGTGTTCTTTTTTTATTGGCTCTGTTCAATAATAGCCAGACACATCATAAATGTGCTCCGTATACTCCCGACCTCCTGCTGCACCCACTCACCTGACTGCGGTTTTATTTATACATCTGAGCTGCCATCTGCAATAAAACACTCTTGGGCAAGCTCTGCAAACACAATAAGTCGTACGTTTGCTCAGTAACATTCTGCAGTGCTGAAGGTATACCGTATATATTAGTTCATATCACGGCTACTGTGTAGTCGGCTATGATAACGGCAGTTTTTTTGTACGTTTTATTTTGTTGCCATGTTCACGAGGCACGCTGCCACTGTGTAATGGTCAGCAAGCTGGACTTCTGGCAAAAACCAGAGGCATCCGGTTCAATCTCTTTGCCGCAACAGTTGACACAATGGGGATATTTCTTAAACCCCTCCACAGCCACTCTGTTTTCCCAGCAGTGTAAACGGGTACATCACAGTTGGTCTCAAAGGCAGGTCATGTGTGGTGGGCAGAAGTGTGTGGGTGTGCTCCCATGACTTCCAAGTCGTCTGGTCAGCGTGGAAAATTATTCTGAAAAACCCTCTCGGGGGTGGGGGGGGGGGCTCGCTTAAGCTCACTTGATTGACTTTACTGTATATACTTCACGTCTCCCAAGATGGATGGCCAGCGTGGAAGAGTAGGCCAAAAAATACCCTCTACAGGGGCCCCCTAGAACCCGATTGAAAGTGGTGGCCGTTCCGCCAGCAGTTGCGTGAGCAAGCAGTTGCAGGGCTGCACCTTTACCTTGTACTGCATTCATGATCATATAAAGTTAAATATACTTGTCAGGATGGCTTTATTACACCCATGAGATGGCACTCTTCTGTATTTTACGGAGCACTAGAGCCCGCTTGAACATATGTGAATTTATGTTTTGTTACTTCGGTACGTAATACATTCAATTCATCACACTAGTACAATCCTTTTGACATATACAAAACAATTATAATATGCTGTTACAGTTATGACCAGTGATGAAATTACAGTGAGATATTTACATCTCCATGTCACCGTTTTGTTGCTCGTCACAATTTTTTGACGATTGTGTTCGTGGAAGGGAAAGTGTATTTGCATCGCGTAGGTACAGATATGTAAATGCTTTAAAATACACTTGTTTACACATATTATGAAAAAACGTGAGAAATTGTGACATGCCATCAAAGTGATTTAGTGTGGTGCTCCCTTCGAGTAGTGTAATTAAGTACTTCCTTTGGCTAATTGGGAGTCATAGCCGATGACTTCTTAAAATTAACCTTACCGATGTAGCTTGTCATTATAATTGACAAGCAAACAAAGGGCTCTATTGGGAGGTGTGAATATTCGGTGGTGCAGCAATTGGGAAGGTAACATTTGATTGCCAGTAAGCTCTCGAACGAGTGCTGGCCCAGATGTCCGTGCACTGAACGACGAACCTGACCACCCTGGTTCGATTCCCGGCCGTGGCTAGAGCACCCGAGTGATATCCGTGGCAGTCCTGGGTGGCTGCGTCCCCTTTACCCCCCACCCGCTTCAACCACCGTGGTGAAGTAAGGTCAAACGAACCCCATGACTGACACGCCACGGTGGTGGAGGGGAGTGGTGGGGTGGGGAGGGAGCAGGCCTGTCATCCAGCAGTGGATTGATGAATCGCTGGAAATTATAAAAATTAACATTATTAACGCTCAAGTGTCCGTCAAGGCTTAGGATAGGGGCACCTCCCAGGACCGTTTTGAAACCTAACCGAAGCTTGAAAAACACTTGGCTTTGTCAGACGCTTCAAAGCTCGGTGCCAGGTGGTCCTCAGTCAGAGTTTTTAGTTCCCTAGCTCAGGTGGTGTTTTGGGTTATGTGGTTTTTAAACTGCTCGGCTCATTGGATCCATGCATGCATTAGCCCCTCGGGGGGGGGGAGGGGGGAGGAGGGCTAGGGAAGGGGGCCCGTTGCTGGAAAAGGCAGGAAGGAATACTTTTCGTGCACAGTAATAGGTGTGTATGCCTAGGTAGTAAAAAAAAAAGAACCTCATAAGAAAAGGAAAATGCTCAAAGCTTGCACTTGTTGGGTCCCCAAACAGAAATCCTCTCTCTCTCTGTCAGCGGAAATAACCCCACAGAAAGAAAAAAAATGTAGGTAAAGAAAAACCCCATCAATGTAGAAATGAATGGCCAGGAAATTCTGCTCGACATTTCTAGTAAAAGCAGCTGTCCGCCTATAGCAACTGCTCGCGATGAGCTTAACCGCATGTGACAAACCCAAAGACTTCTTTTGATGTGTTGGAATGCATCGCACTGGTTTTATTTGATGCAATAAAACCAATTAAGTAGCAATTAGGTAAATTATAATAAACTAAAAAATGCAATAAAAAATTAAGATTTAAAAACCGGGATTGCAGATGTAAATTCACGCACACGTGTAGAATGCCCTGGGTAATTATGTGTATTAGCAGTGGTGTCGTACACACCTCTGTTACTTCCAGAGTTGAAACTCACTTTACTCTGAAGTACCCGGCCTCAGATAGAGAAATAGTTTTGCCGTTGTCACCAACGTGAGGGCAATTGTGCTGTGAGCCTCGTGTCCTAAGACAAAGAATCCGTTCAGAACTCTCACGGAGCATTGCATTACCCCATTGCTCTAAAATGGTCCTGTGAAAGAAGGGATCATGGAAAACTGCTTCTGAGATCTCTTCAAGTGGTTCCTTATCCACAACAGGAGGCAGTTCTTTCTGATCCACCCCCTGAGATAAATGATCGTCGCTTGACAGTCACACCAAATATTTCGTTTCGTTTTTTATTCTAAACGCTAAACGGAATTTTACGTGAAGTCGTTGGTGACCGGGCTGGGACCATCAGCTCTCTACGTTTGAGAACAACTTTTTAATCACTGGCGGCTGTCCCACATCTGAACACAGGTTCTCAAATCTGGCATTCTCCGATGCCAGATCAGCACTTTGACCTCTGAGTGACCCAGCCACCTCCTTGGATTAAAACATTTAAATTAATATGATCGAATCACTGAATCCTTGCAACAGTTAAGGAGCATGCAAACGAGCCTCAATCTTGACAAAGGCGGAAGCTAAAAGGATGTTTAACAAAAAATACCATGTAACAAAGGTTTAAATTGTAGGCTTGGGATTCGCTATACTATTCGTTTTAAGTGGACACAAGATATCCAAACCACCAAGCCATGCTATTAATGTAAAGAAGAGAATAGCGATTACTGCGAGGTTAAACGTACTCTACAGGCGTGAGCAAAAGGCTGTGATGTGTTAAATTCACGAGGCATCGTTATTTCAAGTACTTATACAAATGATCATATGCTGCAGATTCAGGCAATAACATTAAACTGAAATGACAAGTGTGAGATTCCAACGCTGAACCTTGAAATGTGAAAACACACAATGGCATGCGATTAGCTTAAATCATTCATTCCTATATCAAATATGAGTTAATTATAGCCTCTTAACACTTGGCCAAGGGGGAATTCTTTTCCGCTTGCCGTAGAAGCTTATTACCCTGTTGTGCATGCAAAAAGTGATCAATATAATTGTTTTTTTATTGATAATTTTCAAACGTAGAGAATGCGTTCCACGTTACTCTCCCACAATTGAAGCATATTTTACAAATAACTCACAGCGCTTTGACAATCCCCGGCTTGACAAAGGTTCACCACACATCGCATCGATCCTGGGGATTGCTTGACCATACTTCACCACGATAAGCAGTGTTAAACAGTGTGCATTGGTGAAGGGTGTTGATGGAGAGGTTGCCTGAAGGGCGGGGGGGGGAGGGACATCACCGGTTT